GGTCTTTCTTTCTTGACTTTCTTCCCGGGCTTTTGAGGCCAAATAATAACTTAGCAGATGTTGAATTCAGTTTCAAATTAATGGTGTTGAGAATTCATTTGATAATTGTTGCTAGTTTCACATTCTAACACCTAAAATATGCTTATCCTGGCAGAGACCCATAGAAACACACTCATGGATCATACAGCTAAAAAAGACACAAGCTAGAGCAAATGCCTATTCCCAAAAAAGAGTCAAATGTGGTTCTAATGAAGAAGAACAGCACTGTGAATCCCTACACACAGTTTCCATGCTTCTGAGTGCGTGTTTTAGGACTGAGGCCAGCCTTCTAGCAAGCCTGAGACAAACTTCTTTTTATCACATTAGAAAAGCAGACAAGTCGACTGGGAACTGAACGTTAATGATAAACAGTGGTCTGCCCCTAACACAAAAACAGCATGTGATTCTGCGGGCCTCTAAGAAATGGGGGAGTTTGTCAGGAATGCAAAGTAATGAAATCATCCTAATGGGAGCTCAATTAATTTGTCCTGCTAAAGTGCCAGTTGTCCTGGGACGGTCTTACGGCAAAGGTCTTTAAATCAGAGTTCGGCCGTTGCTGTCTAGGTGCAGGTTCCAGGGCTTTGACAAAGAACACTCGCACAAACACGACAAAAAAGCAGCAAAATCTATTTCCACACAAAGACAGCAGCCTGATCATGTGCTCTGAATTTTTCAGCTCAAGGCACAAAGTGTGACCAGTGATCTCCCGGGTGAACTGTGACCCTTGTGCATCCCGCATAAAGGACAGCTATGGCCCCTTTTCAAATACAATTTCTACAAGCAACTCAACGTTATTGCATTATAAACCGGATGGGCCTGAAAGCACGCAAAAAAGAAAAAAAATTGTATGTGCCTGTTGAAAGGATGGAAACCAGAAACCACAACTTCAAAGCAGACTTATCAGCAAACACACAATATAAATTTTCTCAGTGGCATGACTGAAGGATTTAGTTCAATCGGACATGTTCCTAATAATCCGCATTGGACGCCACTGTGTGATTCATTTTGAGACATTTATGACGATGCGGACAGAAACAGTCCCCGTAGTCGGAATAATATTTAGATAAAATGCCACGCTCTAGTCTAGAGGAAGTTACTCTTCTCATTCATATTAAAATGGGCCAGCAGCACATTGTTCTCCGCGTACGGAGGCTGAGCCAGCGAGGAGCACTACTTAATACCAAATCTTTTATGCGCCATCTTTTGTGTGGTGTCATTAAGTAGATGAATAGGGCTGAGTCTTCCTGCAGGCTAAGCTCAGCCTCTCTATCCTGTGTACTTGCTGACAAAGCCGTAAATATAACCTGCAAGAGAAAATAAAAGTTAACAACAGGGCAAAAACACTGGGGACAAAGGCTATAGATGCCAATAGCTCAAAGAAGCATGAGAAGGAACGCCTTTCTATTTTCTGTCTGTAAACAAAGTCTTCACCTAAACCCACTGACATCTCCTTTGCTTTTTCTAGCATTCAGAGCTCTGGTCTGTATCACTCTTAGTTCCCAAAACACTCTCCACCTTCCCTTATCTCTCTCCCAGACTTGACTCTCCATCCTCCCGCCTGAGCTGCTCTAAGTTGGGCACGGGGCCCACGCTCCTCCAGCAGTTTCACCCGCCTCCCCACCTCGCTGCCCTTTTGCCATCGCTATCTCACAGTATAAGAACCAGACCTTCTCGGACTGCACTTAGCTCAAAGGCTAACACTAACCAGCCCCAGATGTTTACACGGAGAGAGAAGGGGCAGCAGATGCAGTCTCACTCAATAAAACTTGCATCTTTCCCACTCAGCCTTTGTGTCTCTCTTTTTTGGACTCTCTCTCAGCAATCTGCACAGAACCCCGGGGAGCTCTTTAGAACTGTGGGTGTGACGGCTTCGCTCTCAGGCTTTATTTGCCTTATTCCCAGATCTCTCTGTGCTGTGAGTCACCTGGGTTTCCCCTTGGAAAAAAAAAAAAAAAGAAAAAAAAAAAAAAATTTTTTCCAGCTTTTCAAATGGTCAGATATCAAGCAGGAAAAGTAAAGACCAAAAGTTATTGGAGAGCACTGGCCGGAGGTGTTCGCTGCACAACCTCCCCTCATTCAGGAGAATGTTAGCACACCTGAGTCCTCTTTATTTGATGACAAAAAGAGACACAACCCAGGAGTGGAATTTAAGCAGCAAGAACAGGCAAGAATATCTCCAGGTAACACTCAGCAAACAAAGCTGAGCCAGATACATCCTGGAGATATTGGTTGATGCTCGTAAATAAGCTGAGACGTGTTTTGCCTCATCAGCAAAGATTAATTCTCGGCAGCAATGTAGGACAGTGCAGAGATAAAAAAGAAAGTTTGTTTTGTTTTTTTAGATCGACATTTTCTCTTGAATATTTTGCAACTGTCAAAATCCTTCTCATCAGAAATGTCAATGATTTTGTGCAGAAGCGTGATGTGTGGTCCTTTATGAGCTCATCTGCAGAGCGGCGACACTACACAGCACATAAACCTTTGACATTAAACTGCTCTGTGACAACTCAAACTCTTTGTTTCAGCCTATCACTTTGGATGGTTAGAAAAGCAGCAGTGAATATTGCTAATAGAAGGCAGATTGCAGGGCTCCGCTTCAGTAATGTCCTGGCAGACAACAGGCATGTCAGCGGATCAGTGTTTTAGCCCACGGGGCCTTTTTGGGAGATCTGAGTAGTGGCAGGTCACTACATAGTCTGAGCCCCTTTAGGAAGGAGCATACCAGCACCTCCTGCAGTTCCACAGATTGCTAAGGGAGCTGGAAACGCGTCAGAAAAAAAGTGCATCGTAAAACACAGTGCTGTGCAGCCCACCTTACATGTTGAAGTGAATCCTTATACGTTATTTATATGGGCTTTGATCGTTCACATTCTTCCATTCTATTGATTTTTTTAAATCTTGAGAGCGGGGGTGTTTGCTTTGTGAAAAAGAATTCGTGAGTTGCTTCTTGAATTCAGTTGTTTATAACTGATCCCTTCAATTGTACTTGTTTGTGGTTAGTTGGTTGAGCATGGTAGAGGCCGAGTGAATTTTCTCAGGCAGAGCAACCCAACAGTATCATTACGTGCCCAGTGGGAAGGAACCTTCAGTGAACCTTCAGGGTTTTACTCTCCCACAACCAACAAAAAAAAAAAAAAAGGGGGGGGGGGGGCAGGGGGGTCAGTGGAGTAGCCCATATGCAGACATGCATATGAAACAAATAAAAGAGAGTAAATGCAATATCTGCTCAACTAGGCACACATGGCATTATGGAGGATGTTAGAGATCAGTGCAAATGTCTGCAGCCCTCATCCAAAACTCTCAATAAATGAAATATCAACAAAGGAGAGACCAGCAGCTTTCCCTGCACTTAACAAAAACATCTGAAGCGCATTATTCCTGACAGAGCAGCAGACTGAGGATGAACAGCTCGGCTTTTTAATAGAGAGAGTTTCCGCTCCACTGTATGGTTGAGTCCATTCACTAAAGACTCTCGGGAGGGCAGTCAGTTAAGATTTACAAAAGGTGACTGGAGTCTCTGAATCATCAACAAAACACCCTCACATGGAGCTTGGACAATTGAACCACGTATCTACACTCCCCTCTAGTGGACAAATCATTTATGACTAAGAAGAAAAAAACTTGATCAATAAGAGCAGCATAAAATATGTGAGAATATAAATATGGCACATGCTCATTTTGCACTGGATGGCAACAACAAATGAAAAACACAAGCTGAAACAGGTGCAGCAAAAGACATGAAGACCTTCTTGGCTTCTTGGTCAAGATGGAACATGTAGGGAACTTCACTAAACAGTCAAAATAGCAAACAAAATACGATAAAGGAGATTAAAAGCTGCTGTGCAGCAGAGATCCTGTATTAAGAAGGAATGGAAGTGAGTCCTCACTTTCCGAAATACTAATTGTTAATAGATGAGTGTGCGATACCATGTAAATACGCACTTTTGTAATTGCTTTTAACATGTTGCTGGCATCAAACAATAAAATCTGTACATATATTCTCAACATACAGTATATTGTAAAAAAAAAAAAAAGCTAATTTTACCAAATGTTTAACCTAATGAATCAACATATTCATATTGTAAAGCTGTTAATTTAAATAAAGAAATACGTTGCTTTTGAAATAAACTTATAGTGAAGCCTTACAATACTTTGGTTTTGTTTCCTCACCTACCTTGATGACAAATTTCAAAGGAGCCATCGTGAAATGGTGTCTGTATCAAACCTGAAAAGAGCATAGCCATGTGTTACTTTCTACTGTAGGTGTTGTCGTTTAGTGATTGTCACGTTTTAAATCATAATCATCACCACAAATTTCCAATGCATTTAATCGCATTACATCACCACCACTTTTTAATGTTTAGCTGTACTTTTTAACTAGCACAACAACGACACGAAAGCAGAAATGCATTAAAAATCACAAACTACGTCAGAAATTTAAAAGATTTCCTACCGCCAACAATTTGTACGTTTGGCACGAAGAGATGACGTCACCGTCCTATGTAGTCCAAGAGGAACTTAACCGTTAGCATCAGAAGCTTTCAGCGCCAGAAAATGACAAAATAATGACTGCTCATTACTTGCTGTTTCACTGATAATTTCCCCTCATTCAGAAGGCGCAACATACGAGCACTGCAAGTGTTATGGATAACTGAAAAATATTCGACAGAATGTTGCATAGGACCGTATTGCACCCAACGCCGTGACTGCTACCATGGAGACGAAACGCGTCTGTACGGTGCCTGTTTAAATCTCTATGATCATGCTGTTTAAAATATATTTGTCGTATATTTGTTATTTTTTAAATAGAATAATATCCTAAAATATCCTAAAAATAAAACTATTATTTTGTTTCTGGTAAAAGAAAATTAAACAATTCCCAAATAATAATTTGTTTGATTTAAGGCTTATAAAAGGACCGCTATCCGGATATGAAATGCAAAGCATCTTATCGGCTGATATTTAAATGAGTTTTGCAGGACTATTTAACATTTAATTACCTTCAGAATACACTCTTTATACCTTATTATCTGGGATGCCTTGATCACCGCTCCTAAAAAGAAGAGTTTAGTCGTTTTCTGTTCACAAGTTTAACAATTTCCTTATATTGTTTGGCAATCGCAGCTCAAGTGATGTCTCGGCTTAGGAAGAAATCCCCTTCTCTTTGTATGGATCTGCCACTCAACAACAGTGAGCTTTGTAACAAGCTTCATCTTCTGAGGGAACTTCTGAGATCATGTTACGGACCGACTGCTAGACTGAAACACGTCCATAATAACATTGGCGGTCACGTTATAACCACTTCATCCTCATCAGTCCTTCTTCCAGTCATTTCTTCCTCTCAGCCTTTTATCAATCTAATAAGGACTTCAATTCTTAACCACGTCTCCCGCTATAGTGATTGTGGTTTGTTTGCTGCCCTTCTTTGTCTGTCCCTTATTGAGCAAGCAAAGCAGTCGGGACTCAGGGAAAATGTGGCTATCAGAGTGAATAAGCACGTCTTGGCCGTGTGCACCAGTTACCTGCAACAAGAGGACTGCTCTTGTAAAGTCAAATTCGACTTCTGCAGCAGTCACCATTTGATCACGTTAGCTCGTAGTGTTATCTCCAGCAAACCAGCATGCTTACTGACAGAACCGGAGATGCTCCACGTCAGCAAGATAGCTGTGCGAGCCTTCTTACTCACGGTTCCCTGTAACGTCCCGGGGACAGTCACCCTTGGCAGAATAGTAACAGTTACCGTTGAGAGTCGTTCTGTCCTTGACTCTGATGTGTTTCCAGGCTTACTGGTGGACCTACCCGGGGACAATTGCTTTAACAAGTTGGACATTACCTCTACTCCTGTGCACGTGGTGCTGTTCAGTGCGTCTCTTGCTGGAGACCTACCAGAAGTAGGAGATGGTGCAATTGAGGTGCACTCGAGTCTGGACATTGAATCACAGATCCTGGATCTGCTTTTGGAGATTGGTAGGCAGGTGGTTCAAGATGACGTGAAGTTATTTGTCTGTCAGAAAGTCATCCACCCAGTGTTACAGCATTACCTGAGAAACCATGGAGTCATCGTGGTAGAGAGACTTGGAATCACTCTCATGGAGCCACTTACTCTACTGACTGGTAATCACCGCTTAGTGTACAGAAAACAACTTTTTATACCTAGAGAGCTTTAGTTTTAATGTAGGCCAATCCACTAGACTGAAACGGGAGAGTTTATCATTTTGTATTTGCAAAAATTAAACACACACATTCAGAGTGTTGTTACTGTCGGCAACCATGTATAAGAACACACAATAGATTATCACATCACTGCCTCTCATGTCCCAGTAGAAAAAACATCCTTACTGTTGTGTTCCATATTTAATTTGTTCATGTGTGTCTATCAAATAGGGGCTCAACCTTTGGCTACGTTGCATATCAAGATCCCAGCCACTGCCTATGGGAAGGTGAGGGATCTCAATACAAGGCAGTTTGGATCAAGGACAATGCTGCATTTACACCCCGTTGGGGAGTCAGTCATTTGCACCATGATACTCTGCCACAGGAGTGAAACGATTTTAAACGAGCTAAAGGTAAGATTAAGTAGTCTATACAGCTGCATTGACAGATTTGAGGGTTGAAAAGTTCATTTAATGGCATTGTCTTATGAACTGCTTTCTCTCATATGTTCCTGTCTGTGTGTGGATGTGTTTTGCTTTATAATTTGAATATGCAACCGACCCAACAGTAAAGAAAATAGAAAGATTTTCTCTTTTGTTTTGTGATGAAGGTAGTTTGTCAGAACGCAGAGCATGTGTTGAGGCTCGCCCTGAAGGAGCCATGTGCTTTGCTTGGAGGGGGCTGTACTGAGACCCACTTAGCTGCTTTTGTCAGACACAAGGTCAGATCCACTAATTATCTTTTAAACTCGTTCTGTTTTCGGACATTGACGTCTGCCACATGACGGAGTGCCCTGATTGTGACATTCTTGTATTATAGAGCAAGAATGAAGCATCGCAGACAACATCAGCAGCAGGGTGCTCACGGACAGAGTTCCTCCTTGGCGTGGAGGTATTCTGCCGCTCTCTGGAGTCTGTGGCCAGATCTTTGGAGCATGACGGTGGGACTTCTGCCATGGATTTGACTCATGCCCACCATTGGACTCTCCCTTCAGATGGCACAAAAGACCAGGACAGCTTTGGCTTCTGTGGTTGTGGAGTGGTGAAAAGTTGCCCTAGTAATAAGTGGACTTATCTAAACACTGAATATGCAGAGTTCTCTCCTGCTCCCTTATTTGGAGACGCTTTTGAGCAGCCAAGTGTGCTGGACTCCTTCACAGCTAAACTCAGTGCATTACAAGTTGCTGTGGAAACTGCTAATCTTGCACTGGATGTGAGATATATAATTCAAGATGTGAACTAATATAAGAGAAATGTTGTCATGGGTGGGATTCAGGTTTGTGATTAATAACACGTGCAGACACCATCCTATGAATGTGGGTTAAATAATCAACTCATTGTCAGAAATATCTTTTTTTTTTTTTTTTAGATAGTTTGTAGATCCAGTCTTGTTCACAATTTACATTATTGCCACATCCTTTGTTACAAAATAGTCAGTTCTGCTTTGATTGTAAAAGCTAGTTTTGTATTGTTCTACTCATCCCACACATTCAGCAACATAAATCCATCAACAAGCATTTAACAGACTTCTAAAAGCACTCTGTGGCGTACAATTAGTCCTGGAACACAGAATGTCTGAATTCATGCTACTTTCCATAAACAGTCACACTCTAAACTGAGTCCAAAGATCTTGTTCAAGCTGAAAGATACATCTATATTCCTCATCGGCATGCTATGAGTCAGTGAGTTACTAGAATGCAAAGGGCAGGTTACAAAACTTCATTTTTCAGTATTCACAATGACACATGATACAAGCAAAAAGATTACTTATGCATACGGTAATATCTATCGACATGTTTCAGACTGTTCATTTATTCTGCTCAAATTAGGACAACTAATTGGAATATCTGACATGAAAACATTATAATCAAATAACTACTTCTTTAATCAAAATTGTGTAAAACCATTTTTAGTATCTTTTTTCTCCACACACTGATAACAGATTGTATCACATTTAAACTTAACACATCATGTCTACAAAGTACTCTGCTCTTAAATGTTTATTATGACTCTGCTCTTGCTGCCTGCTCGTCCTCTGTTATCATCCTGTTTGCACACCCTCATTGATTTTTTATGTAAATTAAACATTGATTGAATAGCTGAATGCCATACCAACATGCTCGGTGTCAGATGGATTTGCAGAATACTGTACCTGACTTCAGTTATGACTTAATCCCATTTTTCGTGCAGTGAAGTGAGTGTTTCTTCATTTTTTACACTTGTGCAGATCCCTGTAGCCTTCCTCTGCTTTAGGGTGGTTAATACGCTTGCTCAGTGAGGTGACGACTGCTTTTTAATTCAGAAGATGAATGGAATTAAAGCTTTTCGAAACCTGGGGTATTCCTTGAATTTCTCCTGGTAAAACCTGCAGATGAGGAGCAGAAAATAACAATTACCACCCAGAAAAAAGAAGATGGCAAAAGACTCCCAAGCTTCCCGTGAATGTCTTAAGCACCTGTGATGGTAGTGGGCCCTTGGTCCAATAAAGCAGAGGCTGAACACAGCAAAGGAGAGTGTCGGAAGGGACCAGGTGGCTACAGCATAGCCAAACCACTCCACAATCTCTCCTAAGTAGTTGGCACCAGACACATATTCAAACAGACCTCCTGTTGGAGATTAAGACCACATGTCACTTAAAATGCGCATTGGAGGAAAGGTTATGCAACTGTAATCTGTTTCATACCTGCAGGGATTTTGTAAACAACCTCTTTTGGTTTCCTCAGATTGCGTAGAATATAGTCACTTTGTATATTGACAGCCATCCCGACATAAAACATCATTAAACCTAGAAGAAATCCATGCTTGTGTTATAAGTTTTGTCACATAAATGACTTGAAATGTTAGGCATATAAAAAAGCATTTTATCAGTCATTCTCACACATGAAACCATTTCTACGGCAAAGCGGTTGGCCCACCCATCTTATAGCGGCAGCCAAATGACCATTCTTCATCAAAGTGAGCACAATGCAGCAGGTAGTGTCCCTGCAGGAGACCATTTATCAGGCAAAAGAACCCCCCTGCCACCATCACACCCAGAGGAAAGGGCTGCCCTCTGGTCAGAAACGAATACACAAATGTCCTGCAGGAAGAACAGGGAGTGGTTAATGTTGCTTTCACCAAAGCTGATAGATGCAAAAATCATAAAGCTTTACAACTAGATGGAGGTATTCTTTAAAAATGATTTGGCTGTAAAAACAGAAAGCAGAGGCATGCCAGTAGCCCCTCTCCTTAATGGGAGGTTAACTCTGCATTCACTAGGGAGCTGTTTCAGATTACAGCTGCAGGAAAGATTCTTTCAAAACACTCTATTTTCAGTATGCTGGTGTTGTTTATCAGTCATCCGCATCCAGTATTCCCAAGTGTTTGAGCTCTGAGGACTTTTTCTTTTCCATCTTCATCTTGCTTTTAACAAAAACTCCATTGTCTTTGTGATTCCAAAAATGCTACCCCAAGTACTAAAGACCGTTTTTGTGGATTCTTCTCAAAACAAAAATGTTCAGTGATTTACCTATGTGTGCAAGTAAAATGGGGAAGACAATACCTTTGTAATTAAGGCAAATAGATAAACGTTTAAAGTGTTCATTTATAGTTTCAGTTCTCTATTGTGTTTCTGCTTAAAGAATGCTGAGATGGTATAAAATATGAAAATAACAGAAAAGTGATGAGAAATATTAGAAAAATCTGAACTTCTGTCATTGTTGTCTTATTCTGAATTATTTTTCAGAATTTACAATTCTGGAGACACCTGTCGACATTATTACAGACACCACTCTGACTCTGCACTTACCTTTGAAAGTAGTGCAAGCAAAAGGTGGTCAGCAGTAAGTACTTTCCCACGCTGGAGGTTTTGGCTGAAGTCAGCATTAAAACTAGAGGGATCAGGAGGGCAGGCATCTCCTGGAGGAACCAGGCTAGTCTTGCAGGTACCATCTTAGCCGTCTGAGAGAGTGGCATGTGGCGTCCGTAAGCGGTCTGCGCCTTCTTATGATGGACCAGGTGGCCAAATCCTACCAGGATGATCCCACAACTGAAATAATTGACAAGGTTCTCATGGCAGTGCATCTTGAGGGCCTGTGCCGCCAGAAAACTGAGCATTGCAGTAATCCTTTCCACTTATGAACTAATCTTGAGCATCTGTATGAAATTGGATGGATGTTAACAGCCTCTCTGTCTCCTCCCAAAGTAAGAAAGAGGTGTGTCAGCCTGCTGAGACATGTTCCCTTTTCCACAGCTTGTATAAGAAAAACAGCCAGAAATGAGGTTATGATTATTCAAACTTTCTTTGCACACAAAAGTGAATTTCCCAGTTTAAGTCAGCTGTAAGCGATTACTTTTGGAAAGAGTGAAAATCGAATCTACCTGTCCACACAGTAAAAATACGCTGAAAAAAAGAAAAGAAAGGTAGCACTGTAGGGTCTGTTCATACTTATGTCTGGGTGTGCTTGTAAAGTCAAATGTTAGCTACTGACCTTAAATCAAGTTTTCCCAGTGCCTCTCATTACCAATAAGTGGGTGGATGGAATTTGAAGTTGACTGAGTGGACTCACAGCAGCCTCTTAATGATGTCCAGAAACGGCTGCTTACACGTTGCAAAAATGAGACTGCAGTTGTTTACAGGAAGAACCTTTTTTTTTTTTTTTAAAGCCCCCTTGTTTATGGTTTGAAATTATCAACTCAACTCATTTGAGCACGGCACTGTATTGTTCATGTCTTACATCAGATTTATCGGGTGGAAAGGATGGATTACATGTCGGTGTTAATTAAATAATATCAACAAAAACAAGAAGAGTACTTGTGGTTCCTGAAGTTTCCAAGAGAAGAGTGGGAGGCACAGGCCTTCAGTTATCCGCCTCCTCTCTGTGGATCGAGCTGAAAATATTACATCCATGAAAGAGACACCCACTATACCTTTAAAATGAGTCTTCACGTCTTTTCTTTTGTTATAAAACTTACAGTTAGAGGAGGGTCAGCCAACTCTGAAGCATCCCATGATAATGCTCAAGCGGGACTTTCCATAACACACCTTTCCTCACTCTCTGCTTTTTAGTCTAATCCAGATACAAATGTGATTTCATACTCGTCCTTGAATTTCACTGGCCTGCTGTCACGGTGCTTGATTGACGCACAATTTGGAGAAACTTAAAGTCTTGATGTCCCTTAGCTTCAAGCTGTTGGCCTTTCTTTTTTTTTCAAGCTGTACTTTGTAGCAGTTTGTATAAGTAGTGCACCAGCCCATCAGAAAATCATGGATGCAATACCTGGTTTGACTAGTTATTGTGTCAATCTTCACTCATCTGTCAGGAGTTAGACTCTCACTGCTCCGTGATTGCAAAAATGTACATATATGTGTGCGTGGGTTCTCTGACTTCCTCCCACCCTCTACAGTTAAGCGGTGTCTCTGAATTAGGAGTGAATGTGAATGTTTGTTGACCTCTGTTGTTTAGACCTGTGATGTACCAGGGTATGGGACGTATTTGGTGTATACTGTTCAGCCTAAAATGAAACATCACTGTGATCATGTTGCTGTACTCAACAGCCCATTTGTCTCCCTCTACTGGTGATTTTAACTTTAACTGTCATTCGATTAACAGTTAATTATAGTTAACATGGATAATCTTAGCAGCATGGCTGCCATTTGCTCTACATTTTCTATCACTGACAGCTTTTAAACTTGGAATATTATGTCAAGTTAAAACATGCTAACATTGATTGTACTCTATATCCTCTTAGACTGCTATTTGTTTTCAAGGAAAGAATTATGTAAAGAAATAAGAAAATAAATGGCTTCAGTGCAAAAAATAGGAGAAATTCGTATTCACTGAAATGTCGGTAGATATAAATTGTTAAAGATGTTTAAAAGCACAACGTAAAAATAGAGCACTAAAAGAACATGACACCAGAGCGGATATGCTTTTCAGTACATTTTACTTCTTTTTGTAACATGAATCCTCGGCCTTTTTTGAAGAGCCTTCTGGGATGCTTTATCAGTGGAACCTGAGATCAGAAAAACTCCATTAAGGGAGTAGTAAGCTGTATATTTTAGGTTTATGACATGTAAGTTCCAATTCTCTAACCAAGAAAAGAAAATACAAAAAACATTTCTAGAATGACAAATATCCATCAACACAAACATGGTGAACGTAAAGGAAAGGTTTAGCCTCTGTTTCTCTCTACGGGAATGAGGTGACGTGTCAAAACAGAAAACCACTCCCTGCTGGGGAACAGTGATAACAGTTGGTGCCATTTTTGGCCGACAGATGGGGTGAACAGGTCTCCATACTCGAGGTGTGTTGGGCGAGTTGGGCTATCGGCAGAGGTGAGGGGACACATTAAAAAACCAAGACTGAAGAACACACTCTAACGTAAGACTGAAAATGAGAACACCCTTTATATATTCATGTGCAACAGTGATAAAAGGCACAATAGCACAGTGTGTGATGCTTCGCTGATTCCCTTAAATTAGCATTAGAGGTCAAGTGAGCTTGGGGATTCATTTTTCAGTCTGTGCCTACTGGGGTTGGCATGGTTTCCTAGCGCGGTGTTAAATGTGATGGCTCGTTCAGTCATTGAATGCCAAGACGGGAGGAAGCGATATTAAAACGCTATATGGAAGTAGTGACAGAGTGGCATTCACTTCATGCTGCCAGATGTCAATGATGATTATTTTTTTCTTATTCAATCTAGTTTTTTTTTTAAAAAGGGGTCCTGTGCTGATTTAGCAATTATCTTTTTTCTTTCTTCCACATGTTCATTCAATAAATCTTTTAATATAGCAGGGAACAACATGTCACTGTTCTGGGTAAGTCTTGTGAAATGAGGCTAATATTAATACATGTTATATTTGTTACTTGTATCTATCTACAGTGAGCTCATTCTAATGTATGGAGTTGTTTTTATGCAATTTCCTCAAATGTAAAGATGAAGAAATAAATCCTCCTAATAGCTTTTTGGCATTCTTCAGTCAGTGAAGAAACAAAAAAAAAAGCTGTAATAGACAATCTACAGCACAGATATACTTCCTATAAAATAAGAAAATAGTCTTGGAATTTTCTGCTTTGCATCTTTGTTCAGACCTCAGCACAAACGTTGCTGCTCTTACAGAGAACTCAGTGTGTAACAGAATACATTTGTATACAATAAACAAACAAAAGATTAAATGAAAAAGAGGAAGAAATCATCACTCAAGTCTACTGTTTAGGCAAGTCAGTTACTACAGAGATTTAAGGAGGCATTGTAAACAAAAACTAGAGGTGTCAGTGTGTCAGAAAATAAAAAGAAGATCCAACTTTCCACAGCTGCAGTCTGGCCCTCACAAAACCTTTAATGCTGCATGCGTATGACTGGAATCCAGGATCAGTGCTGCTCACTCTCATCTACTAAGCAAACCATGTCGAAAGCTTCACAGCCGGAGTCACAGCTGCTGTTCAAAGCCACACTTTAACTGAGTAAATACTATGGTATGTAATTAAACTACTAAAGAGTCAAAAATAAGGAATAAAATATCAACAAAGTATATTTAATGAACCAATTTGGTGATGAATGTGATTTTTTTCTTTGTATTGTTGTGGGGTGCTAGGTAGAACTATGTTGGGTGCAGCCCTTTGTTAGCAACTACAACATATGCTGTGTACTGGTAGTAATGACCTATGACACTGTTCTCAAACTTGAGCCATATTGAGCTTGAAGCAAAAAGTCGGGTTTAATTTTTAATCAGGCGAAATCTGAATATTATCCCTTCTCCATTAACGTGCAGTTTTTGTTTTGCTTTTCAGTGGCATATTACAAGAGAACAGATTAAATCCAGATATGAGGTTTGCCTTTTTCAGAGCCCAAATCCTTTGTGTTGTCTGAAAAACGAACGACTTAGAGGACATCTACAGTCCATGTAAAGAATCCAGATAAGTTGCCACCACCCAACAATCAATCAGACATATCCCATCTCCTCTAAGCTTTTTCGTCCAACATAATTTCAGAACTACACAACAAGCTAAACGTTTCAATCAAAACTCTCTGTGAGACACTTCAAGCTGGGAGGAGGGTGGTGGATGGAGGGGTGGATGGGAGATTCAGAGAAAGATTTGTATTGGCTTAGAGTGTCTAGGTCCTTCCTGCAAATAGTGGGCGTAACTGGGGGTTGGGGTGTGAGGGGAAGGGCCGGGTTATGGCGATAGATAATAAGAGCAGGGTGGCGGCGTTGCAGGGGCCCCTGCTAAAGTTGACCTCAATGAACGATGAGAGCCCCAGCAGCGTAGCTCACGGAGCTGTCCTGCCAGTTCCTGCACTGACTTGACTGGGCGTAGTTCAGGAAAGAGAAGTTCATTTCTAAACCAGACTTCCTAAGCTCAGCCACAGCCTGCAAAACAACAACATCCAGTTAGCTGCTGATTAATGACACTCAGCCCAGCAAAAAATAAAACACACTCCTCTTCTGTTGCTCAGTATCTTCATAGCAGAGGAAAAAGACTTTGTCATGGACATCCTTTATCACAGTTCTAAAGATTCCACGGCATCATCTTCACAAAATCCTCCTACTCAGCCACACTGTAGGCTTTAAAGTAGCAATAAATTGGGTAACAGATGATGCCGCTTTCATCAGCCCTGCATTAACTCTTGTTGCTGGTGCTAGTTGTATTAGCTTCCCAGAGATTCCCCGGGACATCTCACTAGATGGGAGTGGGCTATCCATTGTGGTTATTCCTGGGCATAACCAACAATAAGCAGACCGTCTTCACTTTGTAGAAAATCCAAACTTTTGGATGGTGCTCTGTATGTTTCACAGTCCCCATGTGTAATTGCAGATGTGATACACACAGCATTCAGCACAGGGCGCGGTTGAAATAACTGGCTGGTTAACTGGCGTTTGGTGACGCAGACTCAACAAACCCAGCAAACTCTTGCTTTTAAAATCTTGCTCTGACTCTAATATCTGCGGCAAACCTTCATATAACCAGTAGAAAAAATGTTAGACTCCACCTGGGAGTCAAACCTCTAATGCAATTACAATCTTGAATGTTTACATCACCTTCTGATTAACAGGATGATAACAGGATGATACATTAAGTGGGGCTTCTCTTCTGTGGTACTTACATTTAGCAGCACTCCTATTGGGTGACGCCCACAGATGGTGTTGCGGTACTTTTTCAAGTAGTTGGTGAAAGACATGGGATCCAGCTGTTCTATAATACCCATCCCCTGCACAAGCAGAGCAGAAGCTGAAAGCTCAAAGTACAGAAACTTTATTGTGTACTGATGCAAAAAAAGAGCTGAATATTGTCATCCATATTCTCAGGCTTGTTGTTTTCTTGTTCGTCTTCTGTGCTAACACAAACCACCTCCATTAATGGACAGCTGGATTCTTACCATTTTATCAAGATGCTCAATAGACCTGTAGATCTCCCCTTGAGAGTCATCGTAGTACGTATAACGAAACCGTTGACCTTCAACAGAAACAGGCAACTTCACACAACTAAATTCAGTCATAACGTCTTTGTAACATCTACACTGAATCCTTCTGTTATCATAAAGTCCAATTAAACTGGCAAAATAGTCTCAAGGATATGTAATCTTCATTTTTGCAACCTACCCCAGTGGCAGAAGTCAGATGAGATGATGAAGAGGTTGGAAGGGTCTGCCAAATACTTGCTGAGCAGCTTCCCATATTCCTGTTCCTTTGACTCACTCAGTGCACCGACAAGCACTGGAACAATGCTGAACTCATCTTTGTGGCTGTAGCATGAGATTAGATTTCAGATGACAGTTTATCTTATATGTCTAAACACTTTTATGACTAATCTTTATCGTCAGTTAACAGTTCAGGTTTTGCTACTGTACTTAAGTGAGGAAATGTGTTCACTTCAACTCAAGCAAAATCCACGTTTCTAGTTTTTTTTCTTTTTAGAACCAAGAAAATGACTACATATCCAGCCAAAGTAACAGAAGGCTTAATTAATTATTCATGTTACTTTCCATGTGTTCCTGCATTGGTGCCATCCGGGCTAACAGTATGTATACAAAGTGAAGTGAAAAGCAAACACAGAACCATACAAAGTGGGTCTGATATCTTCTACTCCAGATAGAGTAAGAAAGTATGCAATTTCTGAAGACTGAGACACAGTCATGTCGATGGATGGATTTAATCAACATTACCTCTCCATGGCTTTAGCAGTGTAAGGCAAGTGCATTTCAATACTGTGCTCATCTTCATCAGTCTGCATACTCATCCTCTCAAACAACCCAGTTTTCCAGAGGTCAGCATAAACTGCAAAAGACAGGTTTTACTTTTATTTGAGCGTGCTATTAAAACCATGTTTACTGATCAAGCCATTTGTTGAGAACTCTGATGAGTGCCAAACAAAGGGGGGAGGGGGCATAAAGTACCTTAAAATTGAAGAACTGAACTGTCTGGTCTCTGAGGGACAGGGATGACTGTGTCACTTTCCAAGATGTCTGAGATATGTATTCCTGAACTCTATTTTACACGAGGTTATAACTATACAACATTTAGCTCTTTCTTTTTTCTGTGCAATGATTCAGAATAATCAGAGTGTACAGCATTTGGTCAGGTCAACAAATCATACTAACTGCGACCAATTGATCAATTAGTGGTAATTCACAAAGATAATGACAATATTCAGTGTAAAAGCAGTCAGTACCCTTCTGGTCGATTCTCAGGTCATAGAGGGGTGTTCTATAGACGTCTGCAGGTGACAGGGCACAGCGGGAGAGGGGCACATGGTGTGAAGGTCCCAGGATGAACACCCTACGACTGAAGGACAACACTTCATCTAGCCCACACTTAACAATATATGACCTGCACATAGTTCTGTTATCTACACTAGCATCTGTTCCTTCTATAGGAGGAAGGAAACTGAGATAAGAAAAAGTCTTGTGAAATACCTTTTTGAAATGAGAAATGGAGCCCGAGAGCTGCATAACTTACGTGATCGAGGGATCAACCTGCTTGTAGGCATGTGCTGCACAAGCACCACAGTAGGTATACCCAGCATGGCTGCAAGCAAAAACAGGTCAGTTCAGAATGAGAGGATAAGATGTTTTCCTTCTGTCTGTCAATGCGATTCTTACGGCGCTATGATGGCTCTCGCAGGTCTGATGGTGGACTGTGCTTGGGATAGCCAGCCCTCCAGTTGTGCATTCAGCTGGGACCCTTCACATGAATAAAGATCCATTTTAAATATAAGGAACAATGTTAAGCAGGTACAATTTGAATTTTGAAAGTGGCAGACAGTCCAAAAATTACGAAACAGATTGGCCCATAGATGACTGCGAAACATAAACTACACTACAACATAAAACGTTTAGAATGAGCACCGATCTTTCAATTCATAGGGACAGTAGTCAAGTTAACTTTATCTCGACTAAATGTTATAGAGAATGGAAAATGTGTCCTGTCAGTCAGTAGTCAATCACACCTACAAGCTGTTATCAATCTTGTATAAGCTGTGAATACAGCTAATTAAATATCCAGCCTTTTAGAGTCATGTATGTACAAATGTATAGGATTTTAGCTGACACTTAGCAAAAGAAAAACTCGATTTTTCTTTCTTTGAATTTTCTGTGAGTGACTACATTGAATGTACCACTGAAAAGTGTATTTATGTCCAATAGTGCACAGATGTGTTAACGTCGGTACTATGATACATTTAGGTTACCTCGGCCTACATATGCAGGTAGGAATTGTGAGCAAGATACGCACAGATAAAGGAAAACAAAATACTTCAGAAAGCTAGTAAAAAGACTAATCTTCCTGGCATGTGGGGTTTTAAACAACACTGCGTGCGGCTTGTAAAATGGGGGAAGGGGTGCAACATGAAACTTGAGTTTTTTGCCCTGCCCTAGCCAGTCCTTTGTCTAACGGCAGGGATTACTTAATCACATAACTTGAGCATGTCAGAGTCACAAACAAAACGACAGAACAATAACAATGGCATATTAAACGAAATTTGGTTAAGGTGTTTCGCGATTTGTCTCGGACTGCGACTTAAGTTAGCATGTAGGCCAGGAAGTTCTATACGATTAGTTAAGTTAGCTAAATTGAGTTTCTAGCCTCTCAAAAACGGCCTTGCAGCAGATGCTCGTTTATTTTCTGTCATTGTCTGATGTAGAAGTGTTCAATAAAGTAAAAACCGAACATCAAATTGAACAGAGAAGAGCCTGGCGATATCAGTTTAATGTTAGCTATCCGACTTTTTTTAATCATCTGGATTAGCCTTGCAACCTAAACGTTGGTCATCTCTGCCTGATGTGTCAAGCGCTTAACAAACTAGTTGTGATCCCTGAGATTATGATAACAGAAAATGTAACCAAATGCACTCACATACAAGGCTACTAGAAAGACAACATCAGACAGCATTCGCTGTGCTAACGGGGACAGTGCTGTTTTGACAGTTACCCGAAGCCGAATACCAGCTGCCGGCGTGACTTGCTTCTCTGCACACCACTCGGTTCGACATCTTGGTTCCCAAGCCGCCTATCTTGGTTTACTTCACTTTTGTCAAGCACAAAACTTAAATGAACCCAGATTCAAAATCCTGTTTTAGCTGACAGACAGGAAACAACGCCTGCTAGCTAACTTGCATGAAAAGACAAAGGGGCAGTTCGACTGTAGTCAGCTGAGCTAGCTGGCTAACAAGCTCAGATAGTGCCGTCAGCTGCCTCTTGTGATGTTACCGGTTAATAAGTTGTCAATTGGTTCGAGAGCCTGGCAGTATTATTATTTGATTTTAGACAGGCACAAATGACAAAATTTTGTTATGTGCCAATAATCAACATCAAGTTAAACGATATTTATGCCTATGACTGTCACAGTCGAAGTCTAGAGGATTAATGATTTGTCTGCCAACCAGGTAAGGGGCGTTTCTGAAACTGTTATGGAAGTGACGTCAGGGGTTTTGATTGGATAGTTGACTTTAACTCTGTGCGGTTTGTCTAATGGCATAACGTGGGAGGAGGAGCGTTTATTAAAGTGAGTGTTTGGTTTTAATACTGCATTGCCCGCCAGGTGAGCGGGTAAAGTTGCAAGTCTCGTTTATTGTCTAATTAAGGACTGAAAATGCAACTCAGTTTCAAATTGACATATGCTGTTTAAATCAATTCAAACAAATTAAATAGGTTCCCCAAATAACCCTAAATGTTAATGAACAAACTAACAAATACAACACAAAATAGCCAGTGAATTTTGGATGAGATAGTCTCAAAAAGGGGCTTAGGACAGTCCAGATTGATCAACAATACACATTTCAAAAGCCAAACTCCTTGATAGTATGGGATTCATTACCCATTATCATTGTCTTTGTTATGTGAAATGACTGGGGGAAATGAGCTAAATAAAAAAATGTTGACGATTGGTTATAGTTGTTAATTAAATCCCCAATTCTGTGTTATCTGAAGTAAATGTTGGAAATGCATGTCAACATTGGAATTTGGAAGAGATTAAAAAAAAAATCAAATGGCCTTGTCAAAAGAAAACTTAATATGTTTTACAAGAAGAAGGCTAATAGAATTAGTGGATGAATATTATGTACAATATTATGATCTCATCTCATCTCATTTATTTTTTGCCTAAATGGTTCTTGCTGTTGTTCTTAAGCTCCGCGTCGGTAGGTGGCAGTATAGCTCATTGACTCCACCTTCCGTTAACATGGAGAAGAAAATAGGGCGGAGTCTACTGTCAGACCTGCGTACGGAAGGGGAAATGGAAGCTAGCGGTGCGACTCTATCTGGTCCAGAGTGATGGAGCAAAATTAGAACAACATATGTGGCTAAGAAGTTATGATATTAAACTCAGACTGCGATGCCGGTCAGACTTAAATGCATTTCCAACTTATCTTGCGCCGTGTGTTATCCCTTCACCAGCTAACTGAGTTTGAACTGAGCCAGACGACGCGAGAGTAATGTCTGCCAAAACAAACGAAGCCAAAGGCAAAGACTGCGGTGAACTCATTAAAAACCACCACAAGCAGGCGTTTGAGTATATATCGAAAGCATTGAGGATCGATGAAGATGATACAGGTTAGTTTGGTGTGTGTATGACTCATGAACTGGTGTGTTACAGTCCCTGATAAACATCATCTGTCTGTGGAAACAGGAGAAAAGGGGGAGGCTGTTCAGTGGTACAAGAGAGGGATTGCTGAACTTGAGAGGGGCATCGCTGTAAAGATCACCGGGCAAGGTATTCCAGGAAATACACTTATGTGCATCATGTCCAGGGTCAGCATTTTTTTGGCCTTATGCTCAGTATTTTCTTAGCAGGAGATCAATATGATCGAGCAAAGAGACTCCAAGATAAAATGGTCGCCAATCGTACTATGGCTAAGGACAGGCTCGCTTTGTTAGGTAAGTGGCATACTTACAGTTTTATAGGCAAAAGTCTCCGACGCGTTCACAAGAGTTGTCAAAGTTATGTGAGCCTGTACTTCACTCGCAGAAACCACGTTGGCAGCCAAGCGGAGAAGTGATCCCCAGACTTCAGATGTTGTTCCAAAGACCAAGCCCCCCCCCTCAGCAGCAGGCGTGTCGTCTAACATCAGGCCATCCAGTACTGTGAGACCCCCAACAAGGCCTCCTGAGGCAAAGGTGATTGTCGTCATTTTTAGGTATGGGCAGTTGAATTACCATGATGTGTAATGCTGTCAGAATAACTCTATTCCCGTTCAGGTTACCCCCCGGACTGGAAAACCTCAGAATGGAAAATCCAGTGCTGTGAAACAGCCACCAAAGAGGGACATGAAAAACTTCAAGAATGTGGACAGCAAAATGGCCAACTTGATTATGAATGAAATAGTTGACAGGTATTTGAAACCATTCAAGCCCCCATGCAAATAAATGCTTTAAAAACAGCTAAGATACTCACAAAGCGTACGCCGCTCTTCACTGCAGGGGGTCAGTTATATCCTTTGAGGACATTGCAGGTCAGGACCTGGCTAAACAAGCACTCCAAGAAATTGTCATCCTTCCTGCCTTAAGACCAGAGGTGATCACTCAGGAGCCTGTTGCCTTTGTTTACTGAATCTAAGCCTATTTGTGTGTGACGCCATTTCACATTTTCTGTCCAGCTCTTCACTGGCCTGAGAGCGCCCGCACGCGGATTACTTTTGTTTGGCCCGCCTGGGAATGGGAAAACCATGCTGGTATGCTCAGTGGTCATCTCATCACAACACATTACTTCATTCCAGTCAGACAGATTCATATTTTGATACATGTCTCACTGTCTCTTCTGTATTGTCTTCTTGTTTCCTCTCTTCAGGCCAAAGCAGTCGCAGCAGAATCTAATGCCACGTTTTTCAACATTAGTGCTGCCAGTTTGACATCTAAATGGGTAAGAGGCACTATGGGTTTGTATTATTTTATTATACGCAGAAGGATTTCATGTGAAACTGAATTTAGCTTTTCTTTTAATGCTTCCTTTCCGGACCGCCACAGGTGGGAGAAGGCGAGAAGCTTGTGCGGGCACTGTTTGCGGTGGCCAGAGAGTTGCAGCCTTCTGTCATCTTTATCGGTTTGTATTTCACTCCTCTACAGCTTAACCACCACACTGAAGCACAGAAATAAGCCCCTCTTTGTCTTCTGGTTGACTCTCAGATGAAGTGGACAGCTTGCTCTGTGAGAGGAGGGAGGGGGAACACGACGCCTCTCGACGTTTAAAAACTGAATTCCTCATTGAATTTGATGGGGTAAGAGCCTCAGCCGGCTCCTCAAGGGTCCTCAGAACTGTATATGGTAGCACAGGTTTTGTCTTCACCATCAACGCTTCTGGGTTTCAGGTGAATTCAGTTGGGGATGACAGGGTGCTGGTAATGGGAGCCACTAACAGGCCTCAGGAGCTCGATGAAGCAGTTTTAAGGTACACAATGCAACCGATAGTGCTGTGCATTCTTTTCTCTCGGGAGCCGGTTTCACTGAATCCCAGCTTTTTCTGTTGTTCGTTTGGCAGGCGCTTCGCTAAAAGGGTTTACGTGACATTGCCAGATGAGCAGGTGACAATTTACCAACAACTGTTCCTTCATGTGCACTAAAGTTTTAAAAATCCTTACTCACTATTGCTTTCTTTCCACCAGACAAGATTCACGCTGCTAAAAAACCTCCTGGGAAAGCACGGAAACCCACTGAGCACAACTGAGCTGACCTACCTCTCAAAGTAAGTGACACTTTAACCCCCTTAACAGAGGTGTGTTTCTTTCAATTTTTTTATTAATCCCTAAATGAATTGACAGAGCGACAGATAGGTATTCAGGAAGTGATCTGACATCATTAGCCAAAGACGCTGCACTCGGGCCAATCAGAGGTATGATCCTTCAGTCTATTTGTCATTGTAATTGCAACTAAAGATGCTACTCTATACATGAAATTTGTCTTTTAAACAGAGTTGGGAGCAGATCAAGTCCGAAATGTGTCTGTTGGTGAGGTGAGATGCTTACGTTAAAGTACCCACATATTTGTATATGTACTACCCAACACAAGCTGTCACTTAACAGGCGACCAGGCCATTCTTGACAAGAATGTGCATTTTATTTTTCACATGACTGTCGTGTTTACTCTTTGGTTTTTGTTCACAGATGCGTAACATTAAGAAGAAAGACTTTGAGGATTCCCTGAAGCGAATTAAGCCCACTGTTAGTTCAGCGACTCTTAACATGTATGCCCAGTGGAACAAAGATTTTGGTGATACAACAGGTTTATAGCTTGATTGTTTTCGATTATTGGCGCTTAAAAAAAGAAGGAAAACATTGTTTCTGCTGTGCTAATGTGTGCAACACCTATAGAAAAACCTGCTGTAGGTTGGTGAACCCGACTTCTGTGAATATTACTACATTTGGAAGCACAATGGGATAATTTCCTGTTTTATGGAAAAGCTCTAAGGTTTTCTTACTTAATGTAATTGTCTTATTCTGTGATATTCAAAGTTATTCTGAAGAATATCCTGCAATTTACAGATCGTCTTGTTTACCTTCAAGAGGAAAATAAGTGTCTGTAAGTTTTTACTAAATATTATTCATCTCAATAATTCTATTCAACTCCTCACCGACCTGTACAGTAACATTTTGATGGGAATAATCACTAAGTGCTCTTTCTGCTCAGGCACACCAACAAGAGTGCTAACAAGTGGGAGTCACAACCAAAGTGTGTTTTTTTGTTTGTACGGGTAAAGAACTTTTCCATGCATGTTTTTTCTGTAGATACAGGTACTCTGATTTGGAGGTAGACAACATCATTTAAACATTTCCGAACACGTAGCTCCAAATCATCCCCTATGCAAAACTGTAATTGCTTCCTGTTTTCTCATTCATCAATAAATGCATTTATTAAAGTTTACACAGGGTTGTTCTTTCCCCCGAATCTTGTATTGACAAACAGCAAATGCCACACATGCTTCACAGTTGATATACAGTAATGGAAGATATAAAGAACAGTAAAGTTGTATTTATTCATTCAGCGCCTTATCAGAAAATAGACGTTTTTCCCCAAAAATATGAAAAATGTGTCCTTTAAGACTGGATGTAAAAAGTTCAAATTTGATTTCTTTGTTGTTGTTTTTTAAATCTTCAGCAAAGTTCTCAATTTTCATTTACATCTTCCAATAGCTTTGGAATTGTTTTGATTGAGCCTAGGGGACAGGTTGTGATGTCTTGCAGGTAGATGGTGCTGCAGCTCCACTGCCGCTTTCAAAGGCAGCTGTCCGTGTGGGCTGAGGCTCTGCCTGCAGCCACAGATGTGTGGAATTCAGTTAAATGCCATAAATGAAAATAAAGTCCATGTCAAGCTCTGCTGACTGTCGGCCTGGATGATATATTGGCTGAGGTTTCGTTTTGGGGTATACTGACAGGCTACGCTTGGTGTGTTCATGCACGTACACGTATGTGCAGCAGTCTCGTTGCATAATGCAGATGTTTTGGCAGGACCCTAAAGCTGTCCACCACATATTAATATTGCTTAAGACTAAGGCTAAACAAGGGTAAGCAGATGTTGCATCTATCAAAGTAAGTCCTTTAGTGCTGAGATTTCATTTGGAGTTCCTAAAATCAGCTTAAATTTCCCTTTTGCTCCCAAAGGCCCTTCTCATTCTTATCTATTGGTGTGGCACACACTTTCTGAGGTCCAGTGGCTGCACTTCTTCTGTGGTTTTATTTACAGATTCTGCATGCAAACTTTTTCTGCAATTCCTGAATCTGTCGAGCTCAGACAGTTTTACTTCCCTCCATTTTATTTTCAAAGGAGATAAACGTGGAAAGCACTCGCTCTCAGAGCTCCAACCACACCTACTCATTTTCGTCCCCCAAGGGAGAGATGGTGGATGGAGTTTATTTTTTTTAACGTGTCACGCCTGAAGAGCTTCTTTCATGACGCCAGACAGGAATGAAGAGTGTTAGAGGTTAGGGTTTAGTCAGCAAGCTCGACCCTGAGATCATCTCTGATGATAAACAAACTCCCTTTAGGAGACACCACTCGCAAGACCACGTAATCATCTTTTTTCTCCACCTTTCAACATAAATGTCTGAGTGGACAAGGTAAACCCCAAGAGGATGAAACGTACAAACAGCAACAGTCTTAAAAGACATTTAACGACATTTATCTAAATACCCTACACTGACAGTAAAAATGCATTATAAGGCACTGAGGTAAGCTACATTTTTTTAAAAGACTGACACTTTCTTCTTAGGAGCGGCAGAGTGATGCTTTGACAACTTCACTCACTCAAGGGAACACAGAATGGGTGATAATTTGATACCTCCAGTCAGGAAGCCCACCCTGTTGGCTGTGGAAGAATAGTCAACATGGCGAGGACCTCTCTGGCTGAGCAAACACTTGGTGATTGTTTCTTCAAGTGGCCCATTATGAGAACGGCATGTGGATGGCAGCACGTGTCTCACCTCAGAGCAATGAAGTTGTGAATGTTCCTCGAGTCCACCGAGGTGTTAATTAAAAACCTGACGCGTTTGTCAACAGAACGTTTGGAGCTCCAATTTTCAGCGCCGACAGATGGGGTTCAGCATCATCTAGAACCGCTGTGAGCTGGAGCATTTTTAAGAAACACTTGATTATAAATTGGTAAGCCTCTGAGAAGAGTATTTCCATGTGCTATTTTTTCTCTTTTTTTTAATCATGTTGAGTTTAAGGATGTGGTTCTGGGCTCACATAGTGGAAAACCCTCAAGGGTTGAATTGTGTCCACTTTCCAGCACTGGCTGCTACTGTTCCACCAGCCAGCACGCCCAATACATAACTTCATTTACCATGAGTGCTATCTTTATCTCCCATGGGGGGCTGGAAGCCAAAACCAATGCTCTATCCGATGGCAACATCTGTCTTTTATGAGCAAATTTATTTTCATTTTTCACTGGTGGTGTGTGTCAATGGATATGTGTATTTCAGAAAAGGGGTGTTTGTATGTAGATATGGAGGTACAGTACCATATAGTACACATGTGTACTATATGCCAGGTCAGCCCAAGTTTCTTGATTCTTGATGATCTTAAAGCAGATAACATTGCAAAAGAGAATCGTGTCTTCTGTAGTTGCTGGGGCCAAGGGAGATGTTACTTTTGCAGCCTGAAATGGATTTGTGGAAAGGGTTGCTGTTGTCACCTGATGTCGGTTAAATGTTCACTGCTGCAGACAAATAGAGCTGTGGTAAGGCCAGTAATGGCTAGTCTTACAGCTTGTCTATTTATTACTGTAACTAGATTTGTTTATCCTTGGGGATTGCGTGCGACTGCAGCCCATCACTGCTAAGGCTGGTGACAGCAGACAACAGGCAGTCACAGGGCTGCATAACGACACGGTTTGACAATCCATGCTCACATCCATGCTTATAATAAAGCTTAACAACATGTTTTGGACTATGGAAAGCATAAGGCTCAAATTTACAGCCTCCATATTTGATTTTAAGGTAACTATCTGAAATGGAATCTCAGTTTGGGATTTTTTTTTATCAATCACTTACTGTGGGTATGTTATCTGCTGGGTTTTGAGTGACCACAGGCAAATTCATGTATTTTCACATCCACTGCAGCCTGCCAAAGCTCTAACACATCAAGGTGGATGGAAGAGAGCAAAACCTCTGTCATGCCTGCACATGACCTGCAAAGCCGTTAATCTCTGTAACCTCAGGAGCCACACCCTCGCCTTTGACTTCTCAGAAACAGATATATTGGACTTGACATCAGCTCTTCAACACATTGCTAAAATGGTCTATTCTCAGGATCACCTGCACATGGCCAAGAAGTCTTCCAAGAATTGTTTAAAGCTAAACAAAGCTCTGTGCATAATGCAAGAGAACAGTCATATCCTCCCATTTTTAGGACAAATATACCTCCCCAGATGATGTCCAGGACACAACCTGGACTTAGGTGGACATGTTAAGACGTGGACTGACTCAGGGAGGGGAAGGGGAACGGTGCTCCGTCAGAGTGAGCAGCAGGATGCCCTGCGGTGCATTCCTTCAGCTTAAGTGCAGTCAAAACACTTGATGAAAAGTGAAAGTGTGGTGTGGACTGAGCATTTTTCACGAGAATAATTCCCTCTCTGTCATCACGTCTTTCTCGCTTATTTTCCCTCCCTTTTTTCTTTTCTCCTCTTTGTTGCTCCTCCCTCAGGACATTCATGTGAGAACAGGAGCAATAGTTCCACTGCAGCCCTGAGCTACAACAGGTTCACTGAGCATCAGTGTCCCTTTCACAGTGTCTGCTTCATTTGAAGTACTCCCACGAACAGCAGGATAAGACACATGCAACGTTTTAAGGTTTGAAATGTATTAATATCATATTGTTTTAGTCACTTGGAAATAATGGGGAGGGGCTGACAAATCATTTTGGAGTTCCATTGTTATCTGAAGACAATATCAACAAAACAGGATACAATGATGTCAAAGAAAAAGTTTGATGGTTGATATCTTGAGTAAAATCTGTTTTGCAACGGTGCAAATTGGTCCAGTTTTATGAAAGACCTACTGTAATTGAGAGTAAAGCTCTCTGGTGGTCAGTTGAATCAAAATTCTGAAAACCTTTCGGAAACTGAGAGAGGCTGTGTTGGTGGCTCTTTTGGTGCACTTGATTCAGGTTTTAAAGCAATCCAAATGATCCCAAGTTTTCTCATGAGAGGCCTTGCTTGGATAAAACAAGTTAAGGGATAGCACATTTTGCACATGTTCAAAAGGGATAGCTGTATTTGTTATGGTAGAGTCTGGGTGGAAAAGTGTTAGTACTGAAGTCAAGACCTGTAACCAACTGATAAGATTTGGAGCATTATGAAATGGGACTTAGTGTCTGTTTTCTTAAAGAATACCACAATAATTTTTTATGATAGTAATCAGCTTCAAAATGGTTTAACTTTCTTGCATCCGAATATTAGCATTAGTATTTAAACACCCTGCGATGGACCGCCCGACTGTCCAGGGTGTGCCCTGCCTCTTACCCATTGACCACTGGGACAGGATCCAGTCCCCCTGCTACCCCATTAGAGAATAAGCGATTACGAAAATGGATGGATGGCTATTTCCAAACTTATACATTGGAGATGGCCCTGAGGATGGACTGGCGACCTCTCCATGCCTTTCGTCCAATGGCTGCAGGGACAAGCTCTGGACCTCAACACAGACTGAATTAAGCAGATATAGAAAATGGAAAAACCCTTCCTCCCCCAAATCCAAAATCCATTAAATAATTTTCACATCCCAATGCAACTGAG